CATCACCCCTCTCTCTTTCCGTTTGTGTAACGTGTTCTCTTAATTTAAACCAGATTCAGAAGAAAGTGCTGCACAAGTGCACATTTTATTAAAAACTAATAATAAATATAACGGACCTTTAGATCTAATAGTTCGATCTCAAGCTTTAAGTGCTTGAGTGAAGTAGTTAGACTGTTAGAGTTTCGAATTGGCCAAAGCCCCTATTTGCACCCTCCATTTATTTTTTTTTCGCGGTCAACACCTTCTAGAATTTTTTCTCCATATTCGCACCTTTCACCTTTCAAAACCCGTAAAAAACTCAACATTTTAACGAACTGTCACGGCACCGTTAAAAAATGCACTACGTGACACCCAAAAATTGACATGGCACATGCGGCGTTTCCTTATTCGTTAAATTCATATGTGAATTTGCTTTTGGATGATGTGGCTTCTTTTCTGCACACGTGGTGTCCACGTGTGCAGTGGGACCCATTGCACAGGACTTGTCCCTGCGTCCCCACAAAAAAAAAAAAATTTTGAATAAGAGCTCTGGGTTCGGCGAGGAACCCAAAGCTCCTGTTCAAAAAAAATTTTTTTTTTGTGGAGATGCAGGGACAAGTCCTGTGCAGTGGGTCCCACTGCACACGTGGCGTCCACATGTGCAGAAAAGAAGTCACATCATCAAAAAGCAAATCCACATCTGAATTTAACGAAAAAGAAAACGCCGCATGTGCCACGTCAATTTTTGGTGCCACGTAGTGCATTTTTTAACGATACTATGACAGTCTGTTAAAATGTTAAGTTTTTTACGGGTTTTGAAAGATGGAAGGTGTGAATAGGGAGAAAAAATTCTGGAAGGTGTTGACCACGGAAAAGAAATAAATGAAGGGTGTAAATAGGGGTTTTGGCCTTTCGAATTCTACCACCGTTGTGAACTTCACCAAAAAACGGTCTAATAACCACGCATCTCATTTGAGGGGGTGGACTGTTCACCCGATCTGGGGATCGAATCTCCAATTGCTAACAACTAATTCAAACTAATTTCCTAACCATTACCTTATCAAAAAATAATAATAATAATAATAAATGAATTTTTTAACGACACGTTAAGGGTAATTGAGACTCCTTTCATGTTAATTCACATTGAACAAACAAAAGGTATATATATATATATATATATATATTTTACATCTCAAGCAAAGGTTTATAGTTGGTAGGTATTAACTAGGCTAATTTGGTAATTAACTGTTTAATTAAAATACTATATATCAATAATAGTGAAAGTACGGTTTTTTTTTTATTTCTTAAATTATTTTTTTATCTCAAAATAATTGTAATTTTTTATTTTAAATTTATCTCAAATTAATTATTTTTTTTCAAATAAATATTTTTTTATACTTTAATTTTATTATTATTTATTCAATTTAATTAATTATTTAATTACAAAAAAATCTTTTTTGTCTTTTATTTCTTTTTTAGGGATTTTATAAATAAATATATATTATCCTAAATCTTTAATTTAGAAAAAAAATTTAAAAATAATTATTTAAAAAGGTATAATTTAATATAAAAAAATACATTAATTGCATTCTTAATATATACAATAAAGGTAAATGTTATATAAACCTTAAAAAATAAAATGAAATATTTATGAGACTTATAAATGCCACTCCCACTAGCTTGCTTCTACGTGTTTATTTATTGCTTTAAATACTTTAAATATTTTTTAATTTCAAAATAATTATTTTATTTATTTTTTAGATTAAAAATTTAAAAATAATTTATATATTTATTTATATTATTTTATAGTAAAAAATAAAAAATTAAAGTAAATAAAGGCAGGTATGGTTAAATTAAAAAAAAATTGTTGTCTAGTTCAAAAAATAGAAAAAATTATAATTAATTGGAAATAAGATTAATTTGACATAAATTTACATTAAAAAATTACAATTATTTTAAAATAGAGGTAATAACTAATCCGCTTTAAGTAACTGTATGTCATTCTACAAAATTATTAAAAATAATTCAAAACTATATTATTTTGTTGTCATATTTTTCTTATTACACTTATTAAAAAATTATCAAACTTCACAAAAGTACAATTATGACAAATTAAAATTTCATTAATAATGAACTTGAGGGTAATTAATAAGTTTTTTTATAAAAGATTCCTTCTAAAATTACAATAGATTTAAAATTTAAATAAGTGATTTTTAATTTTATTTAAGGTTAAAAGTGAGAACTCACATCTTTTTAAAGAAATTGGATAACTAAAATGTGAAAGAAGTAGCGATAAACAATTTTAAAAAATCAAAATATTAATTTGCTTTTTTCAAAATGGATTATAGTTATGGTTATTATTAAATTTGTTAAGGTTATAAAAAATTATTAGATTTTTATTTTAATTTAATTGTTAAAAATAATTTATAATTAATAAAATAATTAATATTTATTATTTAATATATTAAAATAATTTATAAATAAGTATTTTTAAATATTATAATTAATTATTTAAAAATTTTAAATTAATAAAACTATAGTTAAATTAATGATTTTAATAAATTTAATTAATGGTGACAATAACCTTTAACGAACAGTTTTAAGTCACCGGCCTCTTCCCAGTCCAAATGGCTGAGTGTTTGTCTTCAAACACTCGAGTCATGGGTTCTGGGTTCGAAGGTCCGGTGAGCAGAGCAGAACGAACAGTTTTAAGTCATTTTGAAAAGAGCAACAACCTAATATTGATTTTTCAAACTCAGATAATCTTTTGAATGGTTTAAAGTAGGACCCCTATGTATTTTTTTTCAAATGAATTTTGCTGACTTGCCTCATACGTATTAAAATATTAAAAGTATTTTTATTATACTTTTTAATTATTAATTTATATTAAAAAATTATAAAAATAAATTTTGTTTTCAACTTTAATATTACTTGAAATATTTTAATTAAATAATTAATTAAATTAAAATTATTTTTATTTTTAAATATAAATAATTAAAAAAATATAATAATTAAACCTCAATATATGCCTTAAAACATTGGTTAGAAAAATCTTTAAATTAGTTGGTAGTTTTATTAAAAAAAACAATTGTTCAGAATAAAGATGTCATAACGCTAGGGATGACAATTTTTTTCGATTTCACAGGGCTCTACGGAGATCCCTGTCACGAGGACGGGGCGGGGATGGGTAGCATTTTCCCTCGCGAAATTTCGTGAAGAATTTTCCTCGCCTCCGCAAAAATTAAAACAAATATAAATTTTTTTTAAAAAAATTTAATTCACCTTTCAAACTCAAAGTCAAATCCAAACTCAAAGTCAAATCCAAATCCAAATTCAAATTCAAGTTCAAACCCAATTCAATAAAAATTAAACTTAATCCAATTTTACCTAACCTAACCCAATCCATAAAAATTCACTAAATCCATTCCCCTACATACATTTAACCATAACCTTAATTCATTTTTCAATTTTCATTTTCACCTTCCTCGACTTTCTCTCTCCTTCTATTATGCGACTCTACCATATGAATGCCTTTCATTCCATTGCCACCCTTTTACGATTCTACCCTTGCCCTTCCCAGTGCTCACCTTTTGCCACCCCTTGTTTTCTCCTTTGCACTGGCTAGACCATCTCAAATCCCATTTCCTCCATTGCACTACTGGTCTTTTGCTGCCGAAGCCATCTGCCTACTACTGCCAAACTGCTGAAGCCATCTACTTGCTATTGCCAAATTGTCGAAGCCGCTACTTGCTGCTATCTAGACTGCGGAAGCCATATGTGGTTCTGTTGTGGCCTTGCCCTTCTTAGTATTGATTTTCTTTATTTTCAAAATACTAATTTTTTTTTTTATGTTGGATTAATTTTTACTTATGTTTTAGTTTAGTTTAGATTAATCTTCGTTTGTGTTTAAAATAAATTTGTTAATTATTGGTTTAGTTATTTATGTTGAATTGATTTTTATTTATATTTAGACAATTTATAGTTGATTTCATATTTAAAAATTTTAATTAATTGTATTTAAATTTTTAAAATTTTATTAATTATAATTAAATATTAATTAATTATATATAAGAGACAAAAAAATTTAAAATTTAATATTAATTAATAAAAAATAAAAATTCCCACGAAAATACCCATTCTCTGCATAAAACAGGAATGGAGGGCAAAATCTGCCTCAAAAATTTCCACTAAAATCCCCGTTTTTGCCTTTTACGGGAACCGAGACTGAGACCGAGAGAGACTCTCCTACCTCGCGAGGCACGTTGGCGTCCCTGCAGAACACGAATCTACGTATTACATGCGTGTTTTTTTTTTTTTTGGTACAATACACACGTGTTTGTTGAGCACCGCCTTTTAGCCCGCAGATTTCCTTGCTTTTCACGCAGGTCGGCAGCCAGCTCGACTTTTTTTTTTTTCTGGCAAAACCACATGTTAAGCCCCTGAATCAATCCAGATTTACCATTAAGTCCCTAAACTTTAATTGATGCAGATAAACTCTTGGGCTTCGCCATCTGAGCAATTTAACCCTTATTCTTACGGTAGTTAAAGAATTAAAGGGTAAATTACTCA